TTAGAGCTACATCATTGGCTGCCCCAGAATCTTGGCTAGGTCAGTATGTTTGCAACATGGATATAGGATTGCTGAATCTCTTCCCCAACATCTGCCCGTATATGCACATGCACACCCAGATGTGTATGTGATCCAGTATCGAAGCACAGAGGAGTGCACATGCCATCAGGTTAAAATTAGAGGAAAAAATCAGGCTGAAAGCTAGATGTCTGACAAGAAGACATGAAGCGTGTCTTTGGCAAGGACCAGAAAGGTAGTCTTAAGTAGCCCACCTTACTGTGAGATAAGCACACGGTATTCATGCTGGCCTGTACTATAACCAGCAGCCCATGCTGCCTCAGACTGCAGAAAAGGCCAAGAGCCCAAGCAGGAGTGTTCATCTCGAAGGACTATAAGAGTTATTGCTGCCACGAGGAAAGGAGAAGTCCCCTGAGAGAAATCTTAAAGCATGGGAATCACAAGGCCTTCTTATGGTCTGAATGCTCCACAATTGCTTTACAGCATAGAAAAGAAATTGGATCCCTTCATCTAAGAGTCCTGCACACCAGCTAGCACTGGGTAGGCATCAGAGCAAAGTCTCAGTTGTGGTAGTCCATGATGCTAAAGTGCAGTGTTGCTTACAGGGTTGATTGGCATTGAGGAATATATTCTTTCTTGGGGATGATCAGCTATACCATTTAGTAGCTCTAAATCTAGTTGAAGGTGTAGGTGTGCACCATTTCAGAGTTGGGGATTGTGTTAATTTGGAGAAAAGGAAATATTAACTTAAGGGGGATGAAATCCTAAAAAGGTTGCATCCTGGTTGTAAAATCCTAGCAAAAATGGGAATATGTTAATAGCTAGTTAAGACCCTTAGATCTTACCATTGTCTGCATGACAACCTGCTAATAATTCATTTGTGAAGTGCCAGGAACAACAAACTATGCCTTTTACTGAACATGGTGTATAGCTATGTCTTCGCACATCAGCATTTTCTTCCTTTCCCCTACAAACAGTAGTAGACCTGGGAATTATTTTGAGCCCCCTTCCCCTGACAAGCAAGGAAGGTTCTATTATGGGAAGGGGTTTACATTCAGCAAGCAAAATAAACGTGGGTGTTAAAAGAGACACCCAAATCCATGTTAAAGGACAATAATTAGTCTAGGGTTGCAATAGTGTGTCTGGAAAGGGCAAGTGGCAAACATTCCACTGAGATCTACTTAAACTGTATGGAAAGAGACAGGTGGGTTAGAAAGAAAGCAGTGCCTTCCAGCACACAGCCCTTTCTTTCAAGACAAGGTAATTTGGGAAAGAATCCCACAACGTCCCAGAACCAAATTGACCTGCTGCAGCTATGCTCGTCTGAAGGAGCATGCCAGCCCTTTAGGACGGCAATGTCAGATACAGTAACCAAGACTATTTTTTTCTGGAGTATTTTCCCCCCTACCTCACTGCCATCTTATTGTCCAGAACAGTCCTTGGTTGCTTTTTTAGGGCAGCCATGCCCCACAGTTAGAAGCAGGACCCTCTTTATGCTTAAAATGGTAGAGAATCCGTCCAGCTAAATTTATTCCACAGAAACTTCCTGAATGCTCTCTGGCTCTACCTTGCAGCTGTATATTAAGCACAATCTCTGCATGGCATCCTCACCCTAACATGTTTTGTTTGTTTTCTCCTTTATCAGGTATTGTTAACAGTGTTGAATCACCCATTTCTTCCCCTCACTGTTGATGGCCAGTTCTGTATTCCAGAGTTCAGCTGCAGCAGAAGGAGCAGCCGGCTTCTGTGCCCTGGTCAGAAAGAGAGCAATGCCTTCTAAAGAGACTGTGCCTGGAGGCAGAAATCAGGGTTTGTGAATAAGCAGCATTTCCTGGTTTGGGAGAGTTCTTAACTTTGCTCAATAATTTTGTAATACCTGTAGAAAATGTTTTTTTTTTTTAAGAAAACTATGGAAGTTGATGTGAGTAAAAGCAGTGGTTATATTATGAAGCACGCAGCTTTCATTTTAGAAACTTTTGTCAATTTTCTGTCCTTTTGGTTTTTGGGATAGTGTTGTGGTTAGCCGGCAGCAGGTGCAGATGGCTGAGGAGAGCGATGACTCTGATGAGGGGCCAGGACCATCAGGGAGTGGACTGCTGCCTTCAGAGATTGTGGGGGCTGGCAGCAGTGACGAGGAGGTTCCCGAGGAGCCTGTGCCAAGTGCACGTGCACGAAGGATTACTCGGAGGAAAGAACAATTACAGCAGCACAGGCAACTCGGGAGTAAGTCTGCAAGGTAATGGCCCCTCTCAAGAGGATAAAAGCCAGGTTTGGAAAAGCGTTCTTTGCAGACAGCAAAGAAGCTCTTAAGCTCAACTGGTGGACATCTTAGTGTTTGGAGAAATCTTGTAAATTAGTTCTTATCTCTGGGTTTTTGGCAGCCTTGACAAACAACTTGGCAAGGCTCTTTCTTGTCGGAGCTAATTGTTGCCTTTTATCTGTAAAGGAACAGAATTGTGATTAAACCTTAAAAGGTGGGGGCTACTGCCTTTGTCTGTGTTTGCTCTCTGGGTCAGAACAGATAGTGAGAGAATAGTGGTGCTGAAAATCTATTAATACAATCAAGTTATTATAGTCCTCTGCCCCGTCCTTGCCTCTCACAAAAGAAAAAATGCAAAGGGAAAAAAGAAACAGAAAGAAAATAAGAATAAAAGAAGTTGTGTCCATTTCCTGATTTTGATAGCTTGGGACAAAATCACTTAAAATCTTTGGGACCTGAGACACAAAGTGTTGCTTCTGCACAAGAATCCAAAGGTCTTTCCAGGCAACTTACCCCCTACCCCTTCCCTCCCCAAAATACACAGTTTAAAACATGCACTTGATGCTCAGTTGTTTTAAAAGGTGTAGACAGTGGGTTTTTTATTTATTTATCCAAAGCTCCCTATTTGGGGAAAATGCCTTGTCTCAGCATCTTTCCATTACTGTTGGGAAAATTTTAAGTAGATAGTCAGCTACTTTTTCTGGGCTTGTGTCCATGACACCTCGTTTGAAGAACCTGATTTTCCTCTGGTGATCATTCCTCTGCTGCTAATTATTTCCTTTTTAACCGGTAGGGTTTTGTAACTTTTCTAAGTGTCTCATTTGTTGTGTGCTGCCCTACAAATCATGGGACACTGATCCACTCTATGTTGGTCTCAGATGTCCTACATATAAAAGACAACTCAGCCCCACCTCTGAGCTGCCTTACTTTTTACTAAGCTGGGTGAAATGGACCAAGAGGAAGATGCTGATTTTGGGATGGACCCTTTCAAGCTTGAACTAGAAAAGCCAACAGTCCTTGGCTATCCTGTCCCCACTCTGCCAACAACACAGTTTGCAGCAATACTAACACTCCTTCCTATTCAGTGTATGGGGAATGTGTGTCACACATCAGGTGATGCCTAAGATTTGCTAGCAATCTCTGTAGGTGTGTGGTAGCTTTGTTAATAGTTTGAAAAGGCCCACTGGAAGGAATGATTGGACCATGCACAGCAATCGCACTTAGTGGCTTGTTTGTCTGTTTCCCCCCTTTGGAATTTGTTATTGTGACTGTGTATGAAGTTCAAGAACCCCAGTAAAAATTTCCAACAAGGTCTCTTTTCCTTTTTTATAAAAATAGATTTTTAAAATCTTTTTTAAAATTTTTGTTGGGTTTTCTTCTTTGTTTCAGTTTCACCTTTTAAAATTTATTATTTTCCCCTTGTTTGGTCACTTATTTGTTTTAAAAGAGAAAGGAAGACCTCAGCCCTACTAACCATCTTCCCTTTGCCCAAAACACCTTTCAATCTATTCAGTTGTCAGTGATCACAACTCTGGGGCTGATTTCCTTCCCCTGTGCTTGGTTCTATAAATTCTTCAAGAAATATCAGTTTACAAGAAAAGAAAAACATTTCATCTTGGGGAAGAAGAAAAAATAAAATGTTTAATTTACTGCCCCTTAATGTCTCAAATAGCAAGTCCCTATTTCTGACCCGTAAGAAACTTATCTAGTCCTTACAACCTGATTAGAAGCCATAAAGACTCTAGAAATCTTGGACTTTGTGCCAAATTCTTGGCTGCCCTTTTTTACATCACTCTGGCCCAAACTTTCGTTCAATGTAAAATAGTTAAATAAATAAGCAAATATTCAAAACCTGGTCAGCAAATTTTACAACATACGAGTGTAAAATGGTTCTTCTTTTCCCAGGGAATGAGTTTTCTCTGGAATCAAATAGGAAGTACCCTCTTTTCAGACATAAAAGGTTTTAGATTTATTTTCCCAAATATGGCATCATTCTAATTAGGGGCCAAGGAAAACAGTGGGATTAAGAACCTGTATCACTAACATGTTAGACCAACAGATGAGATGAGTGCAATCTCCTCCAACCACATTTGTTCTTTTTCTTTCTTTCTTTTTGCATCATAAGAGAACAAAGGTGGTGAGCTGAATCTCTTTAATTCCTCCCCCTCGGCTAGCTCAGAGTAACAGTCATGACCTTCTTGGATTTGTTGGTTCACAATGTTTTAACATGAAGGGGGCATTTCTATCACATCTTACCGGGAGTGTTTGTTTAATCCTCCAGGGTCAGAAAAACTGTCCACCAAAGGAACCATACAGGTGTGGAATTCATAGAGGGAAAGATATATGGACAACTGGAGAAAGCTTCAGACCTGGGCATGTATGTTAAGAAAGCCTTGGAAGAGGGAGGGGTCACCAAGCATAGAAACAAGAGAGGTATCCTATTCTGAGCAGATGTCACCCCTGCATGCTGTCAGAACAGGGTTTAATTTTCAAGAAGTGGCTGACAAGTTGCTGCATCCGTGCTTCCCGCTGGGCTGTCGGGCATGGGGAGAAGGAGGGGGAGGAACCTCCTGCTTCCCAAAGATCACGGTGTCTGGCGGTTGAATATTCTGCAACATTGAGTCAATGAACATTTCCGTTCTTGTGGCGAGTTGGGGAAGAGAGCTGTTTCCAGCACACTGTTGCTCCCCCCTCCCCCCATCTCTCAGGTGCATTTGCTCACTCATGCCTTGTGTTGCTTACTGGTCTTGAAGGAAACCTGGAGGATTCGGTCACCCAGTCGGTAGCCATTGAGACTGGCGATGGCCATGGCGGCTTCATCATAGTTGGTCATGGTGACAAAGCCAAAGCCTTTGCACTTGTTGGTGGTGAAGTCGCGGATTACTTTGACGTTGGTGACAGCTCCAAAGGGCCCAAAGAGCTGCCAGAGGACGCTCTCATCTGCCTCTGGAGAGAGGTTGTACACAAAGATGCACCAGCCAGCACTGGAGGCCCCGGTCAAATTGACTCCTGCCAGACTGGTCATGCTGTCGATCGTGATAGGAGAGAACCTGGAGATCAAGGAGAGAGGACTACTTTGGGTGTAAGGCTGGCATTCTGCCAGCATAAGTTCATTGCATTACAGAGAGGTTAGGGACAGTGGTGACAACCCCCTTCCCCCCAGCAGAAGGGAGCAGTGTCCGCTTTCATCTAGCATTCTTAGCTCAAAAGAGAACTCTAAATTCGAGAGGCAGTTTGTCTTAAGATTTTATCTATGCCAGGAAGCTGGCATAAATTGTAGGATCCTATTTCCATAATTCTATTATTTGCCAAGGCAAATCCAGAAACTAACATTTGAATCCACATTCTTCAAATATGTTTCTCCCTATTTGGGGCTCTCCTTACAGGTTAGTTCTGCTTGCAAGATGGAAGAAATATTTGATTTATCTATTGGGCTTCCTGAGAGCTAAAGAAACTCACTAGCATATTATGAAAGGGTTTGTAATAAAATGGACTGTAACCATCATTTTTGTAAGAATGGAACTGGAATCTGGTGTATTATTTGCAAAATGAAGATCTTAGTTTCCATAACTTATTTGAGATAACTTCAAGGTAACCAAGTATAATTGCAACGTAAGTTCCAAAATCAGATGGAGATTGAGCAAACCTTATGACAGTGGCAGGGGACAGGCCACCACACATTTCTGTCCTGTCTTCCATCTACCACAATCCCCCGCCCCTGTCTACTGCAACATAGCTTTCACTAAAAAGTTCTTGAATACCTTGAATTAATGGATTAATTCAGACAAGCCATCTCTATGGGGATTTACACAATGTGCCAAGTCTAAATACAGTTTCCTTGTCTGTGGCTTGTAGGGCTGGGCAAACATAACAACAGTGGTTTATTCAATAAACTATAGTTTTGGACAGTGTGCCAACCATTTCTAAACCCAGCTGGATCAACTTTGTTCTAGTTCCAGAATATGGCTTGTGAGGTTGGGCAAACAAAGCCACCGTGGTTTATTTGATAAACCATAGTTCTACACAGTGTGCAAACCCCTTTCTGGATCATACCGAGCTGGATTTTCTAGATGCAGAATGTATCCTGTTTGTTGTGCTGCTAAGCCAAACTTTTCAAACAGAAAGTGGCTGACAGGGATAATGGCTCAGTCAAGCTACTTCCTCAACCTAAACTAGCCGAGTAGTTGCCTGAGTCAGCATCAGTGTTCAAATTTAGCTGATTGCTACCAAGTGCCCATGCACACTTACCAGAGGAAGCCCCATGGACCTCAGTAGGACTTATTTCTGAAGTGAGCAGGCATCATATATTGCTCTTATATCTTAAGTGCAAAATTTGAACATGGATGCATGCTCTCATACCCTTGATAAAAATTCTCCCTTATAATCATGTTGGGAGTCGATTATGGGCTGAATCAGGGTAGAGTTACAGAATGGGCAGCTTTTCTTTGCTCAATCTGAAGAGGCAGCTGATTCTTGCCAGGAATCTTCAGGGCAGACTGGAGCTCCCACAAAGGAAACTGAGACAGCAAACATTTTAAACATCAGCTTAAAATGAAGAGTATGGTCTGATATTATGAATATTTTTAATTTAAACACACAATGCTACAGCATTGTTGAACATAATAACATATGATAAGTTTCTGGACAGGAGACCCCTGACAATTTCATAAGCCATGCCAGATTTTCTATGGAAGAGTCGGTTATCTGGGTAAATGTCATTGTTCAAACAAATAAATAACCTTTTGGTTTTCAAAAGGTGCCCGCGAATTGAAAAACAAAATGGGTTATTGCTTTTCTGATATACTTTTAGAACAATTACTAACTTCTGCCCCACAAGCAATGGAATTAAATGAAACCAAGAAGCACCCAACACAATGAAATCTAAGAAACACAAGACCAAAAATCATAAAGAACAGCCAGTCATCTGAGCAAACAGCAAGCCCTTGTCTCAAGCCAAACCCAAAACAGAACCAAAAGAACACATGAAAGACTATGGTGTGTCCTCAAGACACACACATTTGAATTCCATATCCTAAGTCAGAAATTGGAGGGATTTTAGCTTTTCCTTTTCAATTCCCATCTTCACTGAAGGAAGCGTGGGAGAGTTATTGGGTGTTTTGGGGGAGATTAAAAAGAAAAGATCTTTGTACAGGGAAAAGCACTGAATCAAGCAATCAAATGTTGTCTATGTGATGGTTTAAACATGGCTCAAACAGGGAAAGAAAATGGTCCTCCTCTATAGGAGACTCTGCCCCCTCCAAGTCTCAGTGCTGGGTCTGATCAATTACAACCCTTAGCTTCTTTTGGGTTTCTACAAAATGGAAGCATGTCTGTGTTGCAGGGAGGCCTTGGCAAGGCAGAAAAGGAAGTTCTTGGCTGGGGAATGGGGTTTGCCCTGACCGATCACCTTTTAAAAATCCAGCCTTGTGCTGTAGGCCAAGGTGGGGAAGAGGAGGGGGCGAGGAGCGTAGGCTTTGGAAGGCTATTTACCTCTTGACGCCGTATGCCATGTTTAGCAAATTGTCGAGCCTGTGGGAGGAAGAGGAAGATGAGGAGAGGCCATTGTTAGTAGATAATCTCGTAACAAAAGGGTCCAGTGAGGTCATCTGCGCTGATTGTCAGTGCAGCAGAAAGGCAGCACATGGATTCTGTCACTAGCAGAAGTTGCCATTTAATGTGTGTGCACAACTGCATCCTGAGGCCCTGGTGTCTAATAGTTTGGTTGAGGGAGGGAAGTTCAAAAATAATAACAAGGATCAGGTGCTCTACGTATTTTTACACATCTATTTTTTCACGATGCTAGAAAGTGTGGGAAATGGGAGGCATAAACTAAAGGGCAGTGAAAGTTGTATTTCAAACATCACAATGAGGATGAGGATGTTTCTGACACTCATTCGTTTTAAAAACAAGACACATAAAGAATAGAAGCGTACATGGCAAACATGTTTGTAGTTTCATTTTGGCATCCCAACCCCATTTTCACGGTGGACTTTCCTTTCCACATGGTGGCCCAGATTTTATACAGTAACTCTCTTGACATGGGATCTACATGCTGGCTTTATGGTACAACAAGATTCCCATTATCCTGTAAGATCCAAAGGTTTTTCTTTCTTTGGCAATATATAACCACTGTGGTTGCTAGACAAAACCTCAAAGTGCCTTGGTTGTTAGAGCTTTCAACTGTCAAAATCAAAGAATTAATCCCTCTCAGTTAACTTTCCTGAATTTCTAAGTGCCATGTTAACTCAAGTGTTCATTGTCTGTACCTGTATGCTTTTCCAGAATTCTAGTTCTTCAAGGAACCTTGTGTAAAAAGGAAAACATTTTAAAAGCTTCCTTTCAACAAATTGTGCATTTTACAAAAATGGAAAAAATATTTGCTCGCTTAGTACAATGTAGCATTTTTTCTACTACAGATTTACAAGTATCATCTCAGAATTACAGTCCTTTTAACTGGGGCATTTTGCTGCTTTCCATGTGCAGCAGTTAACTGTGTGATGGCAGAACTACATTGCCTAGGCCCAAGAATTTTTGACTGTATATTATGGCTTTATCCAAAAACTATAATATTAATTAGCCAAGGCACAGGGAAAGGGAAAAGAAACCCTTATGTTCACATGTTCCATGGGTTTGTATGGATTTTATACTATATGCCATGCAGATGCCATGCTTTTATATGTGACATTTATGTATGGGTAGAAATGCATGAGAAGCAAATTCGGATCAAGTGACCCTGAACTACCATTCAGTCCAGTCTTAATGCACATATACAAGGCATATACAGCTCTTCATCAAACAGATTGGAAAAGTAATTAAACCTTTTTTCATGGATTTTCATCTACTGAATATATATTGTTTTAGCAGATCTGGTAGAAAATAATTACTGGATCAAGTATTCTGCTTTTGGGGGCAAGTTTCCTGGATTCTATCTATCCATACAGGATTCTTGGATTCTATCTATCCATAACTATAACTTGAGACTACTGGAGTTTATTTGATGGTTAGAGTATCATCTAGACAAAGAAACAGGAAATACTTGTGCTGAGCTGCTATTTTGGTCTTCTGTCTCTACAAATCAAGCCAAATATAATGCAATGAAGCATTACATACATTTTAAAAAAAATTTGAACATGAATTGCAAGCTGTCTGACTCTCAGACAGACATGATGGTAATTTCACTGATAATATTAAACATGGACCATTTTACCCGAGTGGTAATCCCCACATCCATTACACACAAGTTTAGAAGTACTACATTAAAATAGGAGAAAGTGGACTAACATATTTTACAATTGTGAGCAGCTGCTTTTTTTGAGTCCTTCAATGAAGAATGTTAAATTAACCATGTTAGTACACAAAGCTAGTTGGCAGACAACTAGAAGACAAAAGATACAATTCAAAGAACACTTACTGACTCTGTCCAACATGACTAGTTGATCACTACTTTAAATGCTTTACAGTTTCAGTCAGAAGGGGCAGGACTGTTATAACTGCTTTGCCTTTATTTAGCCTACAAGGAATTCCCTGAAATTTACATTTGGGGGACTGATTTCTTCAGGAAGCCTCTCTCCCAGCTCCTGGATTGGCGGCATTCCCACAAAATATTAATCCAGAATCCTGGCATAGCATCAGGGGTATGCTGCTCTACTGTGACTGATCACATTCACAGGGTGGGAAGTCAGATGGGATGAATTCCTACCCCAGGATTTGGATCAAGAAATTTCCACTGTAATATTTCTAACTATATATAGCTATTGAGTTTGCAGAACAGGTCAAGCAAGAATAATCAGGCAGGCAGCAAGCCCTAGAAGGACAGTATATTTGTAACAATCAGCAGGATTTTAGAAATTTCAACTTTGCCTCTGATATAAAAGTGATTGTTATGATCAACACATGAGACATCCTTTGGTTTTGCTCTTCAACTAAACCACAACTGATAACCAACTCTCAACTTGCATACCGGAGAATTACATTACCTATGCTTTATACAAGAATGGAAAAATGAGCTGCAACAAAAATGCACAATGAGTTAAAATATTGTGGGTTTTTTGTCTCTGTCTTGTGGTCTCTTAAGTCCAAAACACCAGAAAAACCACCATACAAAATCATTTACAGCTCTCAATAGATTGAGAGCAGAAAAGACTAAGACCAGGTCAACTTCTTAGAAATAAACATCCTAGGATTTCATCTCACAATGAAATAATCTCCAGAAGCAGAAAGAAACAGCTATAATGGCTCTCTGGGAATATATATATATATATATATATATATATATATATATATATATATAT